CAGCGTTAATAACGTTTTGTCATTGATCGAGTGGCTTGGAGTGCGGATGAGACACAATAACGTAAGGACGTTATATATTATTATTATACAATTTTTTTGCTCGTCTGACTCGGAATCGTCGTCGCTTTGGGTACGAATAATCCACCGTTATTGTGATTTATGTTTGTTATAATCTAATTGCAGCTGTATAAGAGTGCCGATCCACGTGCTGCAGTCGAATCGAGTTCCTGGTATTTAGTTATTTTGATTGCAATCTCTTGTAGTGGAAACATCAAAAATGATTACATAATACACGTGTTTTGTGGGCCAAAAACAGAAGCGAAAAATAACTCGATTACCACCTCGCATATTGGTTGATTATGTAATGCGAACGTCACTTGCTCTTCACAGTCACCACATGACGTCATCATGCCCCGCAGATTAAAGATAGGGAAATGGGGGGGGGGTAGGTACTATTTAGTATCCCGAGGCCAATATGGAATTAAAGGGCCCATCCTTTTCCACACATTTTTTTGAATGATCATATTCAAAAAATAAAATAAAATATATATTTGTATCACGATAAATTATAATATGTTTGCAACAAATTTGTTAACATAATTATCACGTTTGTTTTTCACAGAAAATTGTGGTTGTGAACAATATAGTTTTGCGTTTCATTTTTATTGTGAAGAGGTGCCGGTGTTAGTGCTTTTTAAATATATGTATGACAATAATACCCATAGGTGTTTAGAAGAACTGTAAAAAAGGGTAGTATTTAATCAAACTTTTTTAGAAGTGGGGAGAAATGGAGAATGGTTAAAATTTAAAATTTTTCGGTTTCGGTGCCCTGCAATGGATAAAAATCCCGACTCGGGCCGTCGACTATATGAACTCGTACTGTTTATTATGACTGACTCATTATATTTCCAAATGATTTATTTTAGTATAATAGAATATTAGTGTATTATTGAACGACGCTCTTCGTCACCGCCATTGGTGACCGCGAAGTAATATTATATTATGATTATATAACAAGGAACCGGAAATACACGTCCAATATTTTTGTCTGGAGGTAATTGCAGAAATGATTTCGATCAGAGCCGTACCTGCATACAATATTCCATAATACAATACTTGATATATATTATATATTGTGTGTGTTTTCCATGTACAACGGCGTGAACATCTGTGGCCGCCCCAGAAGAGATTTTCGCTGTTACGACCGTATATGCGATTCTTATTAAATCTCGTTTTGCCTTCACTTTATATTTAGTTTGGTTAAGAATTTGAAATTCAACACAACACAACACGCACCGAGGACGATCATATAACTTGCACTGTTCTGTTCGGAATTCAAACCCTCGTATAGTACACATATTCTCAGTTATATACTCACATAATATACGTCCGAGTCGCTTTTAAGAGTTATAATAGATAGCTATTGCACATTTGTACAAATATTGGTTTTTCCTACGCGCATTTCCCGTCGGCGGTATTATGTTCAAACATAATAGTATAACAATTATCACGTATACTGCAAACACAATTGGTCGATTATAATTTTTAAAATATATTCTATAATACCCAAGTCGTTTCGTTTAGACAAACATTTTCCGTACTCAGATTTTTTTTTATCGGATTCGGCACGATCGCTTGTGTACACTATGCGATACGATGTATATCGAAATCGTAGTGCATAGAATAAACGGATATAATATAACCACCGTGCATGCGAGGACGCGATTACATTTTACAATGTGGTTAAAGAGATCAAAACGATGCGTTATTATTATCACAGTTCGGTGGCGGGTCTAGAACTAGTAACGCGAGTATAACGACAAGATAAGCCGAAAATGTAATAGAGCCGTAGCAAATTTCATAATTTACTGTCTGGGAAGCAATTCGCGTGTATGACACATAAATATAACGTCGGTGGTAGGTGTTATATTATGTATAGTTCGAAACAATTTCGTTGTCGGGAAAAGTTTTCGGTTGGAGGAAGAGTTTCGATATTTTTCCGAAAGCCACGCGCGAGTCGAGGGCACGGTTATATATAATATATTATAAGGAAAATTGGCATTCGGTTGTGCGGTGTTGACGTTTCGGGAGAAGGTTTTCCACCGTCGCGGCGTACATGCCACCGAGTTGAAAAATGTAGTGTTATTTGTTGACTCGGCATGTAACGACGACGACGACGAGAACAGTCGCGGAATTCGTCTCATTTATTCCGCCACACAACAGTAGTTGTACCCTACAGCTCGGTTTTTAAATTAAAAAGTTGCTACTTAGTTTTTATTGTCCCGTGACGTTGTTGAATTAAAGAATGGGCAAAAAAAGAGAAGGAAATAAAGAAAGGATGACGCAAAAAAAATTATATATAAGAATGCTTAATAATGTGTACTTTTATCTCGTCGTCGTCGCGGACAGACCGAAATAATGGCGAAATACAGTTTTTCACGGTGGAACGCCGCCGTACAGCTAAGCCGAGTGTAAAATTCTGTGAGAAATTCAGTTTTCGAACGTCTTCCGGCGGATTCGCGTGCGTTTTAAAGAATGAACGCCCACCGTGCCTGTAGTACGATATATATATATATATTTAAATGGTATTATAATAAAATATTGAGTGCAATGCGAACGATGAAGAGGCGAGATGATGTGTGTTAATTTAAGAAAAAAAAAATCTAAAAAAAATACTTTCGCGACGCGGGCTTTCTCACCTAAATTACACTCGGTACAGAAAATCGTTATATTTTGTAACTGCAGTACATGTACTTGTTGCAAATCGTTTATAAATAAAAAGATTGATAGGGCTCCTCATCGGAACTTTAAATGTTTGCTAATGAAAAAATGACCAGTTGAACATTCGATTGTTAAATGTTCATCGACATTTTTAGAAATGTGCAAGACACTAGAAACACATATCGTAATAATATAACTATTATACATTCTAAAGGAAAACGTTCAAAAGAGATAATATTTTTTTTTTTTAAACAGTGCGTATGCGGGTGTTGACTGTTGAAATAATAAGTACCTAATAACTCTGTATAATATTATACTATATTATCACAAAAATTCAAAAAATGTTTGATAAACTAAATCGAAAATGTCAAAAAATCACCGTATTATATTATAGCAAATAAGACAATACTTTAACGTGCAGATACATTAAATGGCATCTAGCTATCGCTATAATATGTAGAATTCGGCTTTCGGAGAAACGACCTGTGATTTTTGATGCCTACGCGTTATGTGATGACCTGTTTAATAATACGTTTCGGGGCCGGAGTCAAGAGCCGTATCAATTATTACGGTTCGACGTGTTCATGTGATATCATATGTTATTATGGCATGCTTTTGTAATGAGGGTGCTACGATCGATATATAACAGCTATTAGCGCACGTCGCAAAGGCCAAACCGCGATACGTCGGTGGTCGTCGTTTATGTCGTTCGTAATAACAATAATAATTACTAACAGTATATAATTTATAATAACATAATATATGCGCACATACATCGACACGTGGTTAATTTGATTGGATTATGCGATGTTATGGTTTGGTAGGTACCCATCTAAATATAATAATATGGTCGCCTGCAAACCATTGCAAACGTGCAATCACTATATGTATATTACAGGTACGTCAATCGATGTGAACGCGTGATAATAATATACGATATTATTTTATAATAAGACGTTACCTCTCGCCGAGCACATGTCATCATCGTCTCATAATATGTTATATAGTAATAATCCCATAATGGCCAAATTATAATACATTTCGACGGTTAAGTGCATGCGAATATTTAAACAATTACGACACGTAGGTCGAGGTGTGACGATAACACGGTATCTCCTATAGGTCCAAGAAAATGGCTACAATTTAAACGAGGTACCTATTTATATAATTTCTACGACGAGCCTATATACGCATCACGTGTTTGGGTCTTGTGCACAATTTGTATTGCAAGCACATCATAATAGGAACGCGCGATGACGGCGACGATGACCAAATTCATATCGGAATATATGGTCATTAGAAGATATAGCATAATTAAGGAATTCTAGGTTGCTATATACATTTGCAATTTTTTTTTTGTGCCTTTACGGTTACTCACAATTATTCAATTATATGCTTAATTAGCTACAGATGTGTTTTATTAGACCCCGGTATCCAAGGTATTTAAAATGCAATCTTTTTTTCCACATTGTTTCGTTGCAATTAAATCTTGTCATTTTATCTCTATTTTAAATTGGTTTCAATGAAAATATATTATTTAGTACGTGTCTGAAAATGTTTTAAACATAGTTTTTGGTATACAATAGTTTCATATTTTTCTAGTTTTTTTTATTTATTTTTTTTATCGTTGTATACCTCTGCAATCATCGTGTGTGCGTATAAGTTAATGTAGTTAGACTAATATACACCACAATATAAATAAATAGTTTTGTTAATACGCGTATTACATTAGTGTGTTAAGTTTAATAAATAATTAAAAAAAATTTGCATTCACTACCACACAAACACAGTTTTCTTGTGTGCTCACACGCACTATACAACTACGATTTCGCGTGTCATTTTCTATAATGAACTTATCCGTTGTTTTAAAGCTACGGCGGCGCGATCCGATCAAACACGAATTTAATAAATAATTTAAAACACATGTTATAATGATTACATTTTAAATGTCATGCCCCGATACCACATTATATAGTGAATTAAAATCATTACCGCGCGTGACCGATAATGCGCATATTTTAGGTCTCGAAAGAGCAAACGATTTAAATTTATAATTATAATTATTATTTGAAAGTAAACATTTTCGTTTAGTTGTTTTCTTCAAAACTTTCGTATAGGGATAGACGTTATTGGAATTATAATATTATATTGAAGGTTTTCAAATCGCAAGAGTGTCATCACACTAACCAAAATCAAAACGTTCCCAGAAACGCGTAGGTACCTATACCTACATATAAATCATAAATTATGATGTATAATATTATTGTCTCTTTACTCACTTGGACTGTTCGATGACTATGCTCTGCACGACGGACATGATAGCGTGGCTCTGCATTTCCCGGATGACGCATCTGATCATTCGCAGGTTGGAGATGAGTGCCGAATTTTGGAACGCTTCGCCCTCAACCCGGTCCACGGTAACGTTGGTCAGCGTCGCGTTGCCAATGTCATTGATCGGAAACGCTTTTCGCTCGATCGTGCCGAACGTACAGTTGGTGATCGACAGCATATCGATGGACGTGTAGAACGCGTACGACGGCAATTTTTCCGCGTTCAGGTTTTCCAATATCATCTGTTATCAAATTATACCAACAACTATATAATATCAGATGGAAGAATTAGGTTTTATCGGGCTTGTAGTTGTAGGTAGGTACCTTTTTTTTAAAATGCTATTATACAATTCAATTAATAATTATTCGGGTTGAATTTAATTATTACATTTTTGGTCGAAATATCGAATAGTGCACCACGTTAAGAGACAGTGTAAAACTATATGACAATGTAATTTGCAAAAATCAAAAATCCGACGCTTTCGTTTACTTCGAAAACATATCATATGTATATACAGTGCAATGGAGTTATTTATCTATCCGTTTTATAGAATATTACCGAACTTCGATTCGTATAATACGATATATTTATATATATTAATCAAACGGTTATAGCACATAAATCAAATATGGCGTACATGACGTTGCGGTGGAGTTTGGAGCAGATAAAATTGCGTTATCGGGAGCCTATGTCGCGAGTGTGATGGACGGAAAAGTCTCGCCGACCGTTTTTCTCAGCCGTTAATCTGTGGTCGCGTCGGTGACCATTGGCACCAGAAATAGTCGCAGAAATGTTGTCGTGTATCTGTTAAAAACACTCGTGTGTCGCCACAAACTTGAGTTCCGGAAATTATTGCCGAACATTATTATACGACGTACCTATATATTATATTTTGGTTTAAAAACGCATTATTCTCGTGCTGTTAGCAACGTTATATTATATATTTTTTAAAACTTTTAGGTCCGTAAAAAACCTACAAAATTTATGATCTCTATGTTATATATAATTCATTTCAAACTTTTAAACCTCTTATATAAACATGATAAGCCATAATATATCCGCGAGACCGTCGCGCGTACTGTCGTAAAATCTTCAGGGCTAATATAATATATATTATATTAATATTATATATAGTCGTTGTTTGACATTAATTCTTTGAAATTAGTTTTCGGTCGGTGAATTTCAACTTATGATCTACCGCCGGCTCGCCATGGTGGCCGAAAACGTACGAGATTAACGACGACGAAGGCATTCATCGATTTCTATAATATAGCGTTGTACAGCGATAAAAACAGATAATTTTTTGTGACTTTTACGAATCTGAATCGAAACGGATGTGATGGGTATAATAGTGAAACAGCAGATTTAACTGTAATTGTTGTATGGTAGATGATGCACAATAATAAGTGTATACAAATAGCTACAACGCGCAACATACGATATGAAAATATGTGGGAAACTCAGAAAATGACAGAAAGCGAGGTCGAGCTGAACTGGATGATGATACCATAACTGGGTCATAGGACGGCATGGGAGCTTATAGCGGAGTGGACAATCGATAATATATAAATATTTGTGACACACCTTTAGACACCTGCTATACATGATCGATTTACCGAAGAACTCAAAAGACCACGCGAAAACGAAGGTGGTGGACTTATATCGGTATATATAGAGGCATATAACGACAATATATACTCGTGTTCGACAATAATCACTTTTTGATCGAAGAACCCGTGCCGGCGTTCTTGAACTTATTCTGGGACAAATCCAGAAGGTGGATCCAGTGGAACACAAACGACCGGAGTTCGAGCGGCTCGCGATGGTGGCCGTTTTCGGAAAACGGACGAGTAACGATGACGAAGAAATTTATTGATTTCTATATTGCATTGTACCTCGGACGAAAACAGATAATCTTTCATGACTCTTAAGAATGTCAATCGAAACGGATGTGATGGGTATACTAACGAAACAGCAGATTTAGCTGTAGCCGTTGTACAATCGATGATGCACAATAATAAGTGTATGCAAATAGTTACAACGCGTATAGTAACCTAAATTAAAATAGGTATACTAGAAACTCGCAAAATGACAGGAATTGTAGTCACGAGGTCTATAGCTACGAACTGGATGATGATACCATAACTGGGTCATACGACGGCATGGGAGCATATAGCGGAGTGGATAATCGATAATATAAAAAATTGTGATACATCTGCAGACACATGACCAATTTACCGAAGAACTCGAAAGACCGCTCAAAAAACGGAGGTGGTGGAATTTTATCCGTATATACATAACGATAATATATACCTACTCGTGTTCGACATAAATACCTTTTCGATCGACGAACCAGTGCCAGCGTTCTTGAACGTATTCTTGGACAAGTCCAGGTCACGGATCCGACGGAACACGAACGACCGGAGCTTGGACACCACCTCGCTGCCCAGCCGGACCACGTCGCAGTCCTCCACCAGCACGTCGAGCGTGCCCTCGTGCGGATGAAACGCATTCGTGTCCAGGTAAAGCTGACGGACATTGCTGATTTTCACAGTGAAGTTCGTGCGGGCGTTCTTGGCCAGCACCCCTTGCGACAGGATCGTCGCCCGGTCGAACCCGCTCACGTTGAAAGACCTGAGACCGGCGAACGCCACTAGCACCTTGTGGTTTACGGTGAGATTGCACAGGCCGTCGCCGTTCAACTCCAGCACCACCAGCGATTTGTTTAGGTTCTTGACCGGTTCCCAGATCACGTCCTATAAGGAACAAAACAAACGACTGTTAAAAACAACACGACTTACTGCAAGTATTGCCAAGCTACACTTGCAGGATAAAGAGTTTTAAAAATACAGTTTTTTTTTTACAAGTTTCCAAGACCGAGTGTGTTTATACGTTGGGTCATAGCGGGTATTCGTTATAGTTGCGTATCTGGCAAACGATTAACTAGAGGATCGTGTCACACAATTAGTATATTAATGAAATACAGACTTGTTATCAATATATATTATTATATAGTAATAGGTCCAACACTTTTTGGTCGTGGAGTACGATAACATGTTGGTGTACCTATCAGGTTCGCAAAACACAATTGTGTACTTAATTCGCATCAAAAAAATATCGCTCATGTAAAATATATAATATTATATATTGTATATAAACTGATTTTCCGACGTACGTTATATTTGAACACGGTATTAAGTTATTGCATTCGATAAGCAAAAACTAATAATTTAAAATGAATGCAGGTCCTTGACAAAATTGCGAAAAAAAATCTATGTACGGATAACGTGACACGAATATATATGTATATTATATACTATATACAGCGTGTGTTATTGAAAAAATGTATTTTATTTTTTATCAATATTTCAGTACCTAGGTAAAGATATATCTTAACATATTTATTTTTATAAAAAATGTAATCTTACTCCTCAACGAACTAAAACGGATTAACGGTTTTAAATTCGATTAAAACCATAGCTGTTCTATACATTTTAAAGAATGTTTTTAGTTGGTACCTTATAAATTATATTAATTAACATATTTTATTTTTAAATTTAGTCCGACCTTTGATTGTACAGTTTGATGGTATAAATAATTCACTATACCTTCCAAACGAAACATTTCAAGCACGTGGTTTCGTGGTGTTGTACTAAAATAATCAATAAAACGCAAATTACTATAGTGGACATGACTGATTACGGTTGACTACGGGTACCGTACTATTTAACCCGAGAGAACCATTTTACACTTTCAGGTAAGTGATGGACAACCATATTCTTGCGTTTAGGTCAACTAAACCCGACTATTCAACATTTCCAGGGTTTTGGGCTTTCTAATTTGTCAACTCACTGTATTTTCGAAATTTATCATCAACAAAAATATATACAGTTGTCCTCGCGGGTTTCGTAATTAATTAAAATACCAATTACTATTGCACCTAATCCCGCCAAGGACAAAAATAACAAATGTCAAAAGCTCATAAATCATATCCAAGTTTGAACCCATAAAGGTACTGCCGTATAATTATAATTTCTAATAGAAAGTTTTTCCTTTCTACTAATATATGTATTATACAAGAATAAAATATTATAAAACCGTTGATTTAAAATCATACGAATAGCGCAATGCTACAAGTTACAATACTTTATCCATATACATTTTAAACCTGCAGATAATTATTCTGATACAAGAACTCAACCATCGAGATTTTTAATAATAAATTGTACGAATGTTTCCATACGACTAGTTTTATATTTTATAATCCATTTGAAGGTGCTACATGTTATGATAGTATAAGTCATATATTATAACTCTGTACACTGTTGTCAATCATTTCATATCACGTATGATTGATATGGGCACACTTGTACACCTAACGATTTATCCGCTGAAGAAACCCTTCGTTATAATGCACATGCGTTATGTTATTAAAATCGCATAGTTTATGTTTTACAGGGAAAAATTGTATACATTGTGATAAAAAAAAAATAGTGTCTACGATTGCTGCTGATGTAGGGGCGAGGAGGGGCCCTAATGCCGAAATGCTCCATGAATTGCGATACTCCGGTTTTGGCACACGAACACGGAGAGCTGTGTAATCCCGAGGGATTACGCGATGCTTGACAAACGTGGTAGATTACGTGAAAAATGACGTGCACTGTTGCGCACATTATTTTCCTATTAAAATTGGCAGTGTGCGAGTATTCTTTTGTCTCCGTTCGGCTCGCTGTTTCGCTCGATCCTATCGCCACCGTAAGTCTGATTTAATTTACGTGGATAAATTCGAAGCCGGTTGAAGTGCGTGTACGAGTACCTATATACATATTATTGTTATAAACACTCCAACGTGTATTATTATGACTTCGTATAAAACCGTCGCGTATTAATGTTATTTGAGTTTCAGTCTGTCGACTACAGTACAGACACCGCACTGGGCACCAGTGAGTATTGGTGCATACATTATAATATATAATATACTAGTGACTTTAGAGTGTTCACTGTACCATATTATTTATTATATAATATTATTATGATAGATACACCACGCAGGGGCAATTTTCATGTTACATAATGTTATTTCGAAATTTTGAGATCATCGTCGTCATTGTTTGACCAAGTCATGCGAGGAACTCTATACGTCGTGTACCTATAAATAAATATAGTTCCGAGGAATAGTAAAGTCAGAAAATTAAAAACTGCTACTTGTCGATGACGTAAAATGTTCGGTACACGCTAAAC